GGCTGCATGTGAGGAAATCTGCTCCGTCTAGCTCTCGGAGAAAGCCGTGGATGTTTGCAAATTCACCCTGAGCTTCTTCCAGGGCAGCAGAAAGGCTGGATGTGAGCTCTGCATATGACAGGTGGTTGGATAAACACTTTGCAAAAGAACACCAACACAAAGCAAGATCTGTTTAGCAAAAAAACTAAATACAATCTGCATGTGACTCATCATCTTTAATAATGTTACCATACAGATTCAGCTGCCGTGTATCAACATGCTATCATTTTGCCAACCAAAGTTACTTATGAAGCAGATTGTTTTGGAACAGGCATAGCTGGTCGTGCTTTGTATTGATGCATTACGGACTTAATACTGTATTATTAGTGCTGCTGTCATAGCTCTAAAATTGTAAATGTTTTTTCTTTGTGCTACTGACTTGCCCCTCTCATGATCACACCTCGCTCGCCCTGGTGAACAATAACGTTTTAACAAATCAAAGATATGAGTTCACCTTTTCTCTTCCCTATTATCTCACCTAAAGCTGGTAAGTATATTGCATCCTTATAAAAGTTGCATTCCTTCATGTTGGCAGTAGATATGAATGAACCAAGAACCAAATGTATAGGTGTCCCTATCTCTATTTGGAGCCAAGTTAACATTATAACAACCTGTGTTGTGTATCATCGACAGCGTTGGAGATGACAGAATGTTGCTAGAAATGGTGAGAACTATCTGTATCCTGCAGAAAAGCATCCGCTCATTTGTTAAATATGGTTATTAGGCTCCACAGTTTTGTTACAAATGTCCTCCCAAACATGGCAGGGCCACAGCATTTTGACTGTTGGTAGATTGTTATAGCAAAACTGAAATGTTTAGCCCCATGGTGGAAGGAGGAGACAGACTCAGGAGTTCTTCCCCTGGTGCTTTCTTCTATTTCTTCACCAGACACGTGGAAAGTGCAGTAGTGCAAGGGTGAATTATTGCAAAAATATATCAAAAATTAAACAAACAAACAACAAGAAAACTAAGTACAAACTATTCAAATTATCATCGCAAACTGATATTAAACAACACAAAAAACATATATCAGGCCCTGATTATTGGGCACATGCACCCTTCCAGGCCAAAGCTGTCCTGCCCAGAGGAGCCTCTGCCTTCTTCCTTTATACCGGAAGCCCCTCCTACAGGACAAACCAAAGTTAATTGGAAATCAATCAAACAACATCTCCACATTCCCAAACATTTCTGACTACATCAATACACAATATATCAACTATAAAACCAAAAATTAAATGTTACATGCTGAACAAGCTTCTCAAAACAGAAAACTTTAGAGACTCTAATACACCCCTTTGTACTTGCTCACACTATAAATTACTCCAGACTCTATCACTTCCTTTTTGCCACTTTTACCCAGATGAGAACAGGTGAATGAAACATGCAAACATTTGGATGACCTTGGGTAAATCCAATAACCTAAAATAAATGTCTTGAAATTAACTGTGTATGTTTTGTATTTATCTAATCATGATTTCTACTCTTTCGACTAGTACTTAAATGAACGGAAATGAAATGACAAGCCATGTGTCCGTTGGTGCTAACAGTCCAATGCTAACGCTCCCTTTAATAGCTAACAGGCCTATGCTCATGCTAAGGTTAGCTTAGCCTGCTAATACCAATGCTACCACTGGCTTAAAGGCATGGGGTAGCCCCATGACAAAAACCTGCTGATTGATCAAACATAAGAAGTTGAATGCAAAATTCATATTTGACCTAGTTTTTCCTTCCTAAGGAGTTGGCTTGGTCAGTCGCATTATTATTCATTTAGGTGACGCTTTAATCCAAAGCAATTTACAATTGCTAATTATGTCAGTGGGGGATTGAACCCAGATCTTTCACACCAATAGCAGGCATCTTATCCACAGCACCACCACCAGTCTGTGGATGTTATCTATTAAGAAGACTGTTCACATTCGCTGCCAAAGACCACCCTTGAACCCCACCATTGAGGCACAGGAGTTCGCATCCCCCCCCATATAGAACCAATCACAATGTTTGTTAAAACCCCTGCTATACATTTTAATGGCAGCAACATGTTAAATGTTTACTTTTTTCATGATGTTATTTCAAAGTGTTTACATCCCATTCATTTAAAATGCATGTTTCGTGCTTTCATACCTCAGTACCAACACACTAATATTAGGTTGGAGATCTAATTAAGCTGTTGGGCCACAGAAAATGACTTGCTTGACTTTAGCCAAGACTAGATTTTTCTGTTTGGTAGATTTGGTTTATCAAAGATGTTAGCAAAGCAACACAGTACATAAAATAAGTCAGCACAAATGCAGACCACCATGTTTAACTATATATGTTACATATATGTATTAGGGCTGACCCCGAATAGCCAAAGATTCAATGCTTCGATGGGCGGAGCCTGATTCGACTGTCAATCTCACAGTCGAAGCTTCGCAACGACACAAGGATCATGCCATTTTGGCGGTATGGGGGTGCTCAGCGTCTGGTTTTACATAGAACTACCAGTTTTCTCCCAGTAAGTTAATATACAGCCTATTACAATATACATTTCAACATTTAATGCTGTAAATAAACGTGTAAAAAGAATTAAACTTTCAATAAAGGTTTAGCGTGTATGTGTGTTGTGGCAATAGAGGAACACTTGCTGAAGTGACCCCAGCTTTACTGGAGTTGTGCCGAGTTGTCCGCACATCGCGGGACTTTTGGATAATTTATTGCAGTTGATGAACCACACAAAGAATATTAAATCGTTTTTAAACAGCCGGCTACTTGAAATAGACCCGCGACGTGCATGCAGTTGTCGGCAACACGGAATCCACACAAAACTCTGCACAAGACCGGTGAATGGTAGGTATTTTTGTGTCTTTTTAATGCCAACAAAAAAAAAATTTGAGAGAATATTTATATGGCACTGCAATCAAAAATCAAGTTTGTAATTAAAAATAAACAGGCCTTTTTTGTGTCACAAAATGTTTTAATTGCTATTATGTCATATTATTTGATGCAAGTCAAAAGGTTTTCCTTGCGAGTCAGAAAGTTTTGCAGGTTAAACCGTTTTGCAAGCGAGAGAGTTAACATGTGTTAACATGAGTAGCTAACCTTAGCCTAGCTAGTCATGTCTGATGCACAGCCAGTCAAGCTTCATGCCAAGATGGCTTACGTTAGCTAACTATCATACATGTGCAATAGACTCCGTGGCCTTGCCAACAGTAAATATAAATAATCATTATATTATGCCATACTACATTTAAAAGCATTTCTATTGAAATAAGCGACATAACGTCAACATACCTCCATCCTGCCTGTACACGTTACAACGCCGACTCCAGTAGAGCTGAGTGCTGGTCAGAGCCATATGAGCAAGGGGATTGTGGGCATGGCCATGCGGTCAATGCAAACCCATGACCGGTCAGTCAAACCCACCAATAGAATCTCTTATTTTGACCATTTTTGACTCGCAAAACATTTCAACTTGCAAAACGGTTTAACCAGCAAAACATTCTGACTCACAAGGAAAACCTTTTGACTTGCAAAACTATTTAACTAGCAAAACTTATTAACTTGCAAAACTATTTAACTAGCAAAACATATTAACTTGCATAACTTTCTGACTCACAAGGAAAACTTTTTGATTTGCAATCAAATAATATGACATAATAGCAATTAAAACTTTTTGAGACACAAAAAAGTTATTTTTAATTACAAACTTGATTTTTGATTGCAGTGATAAATATTTCCTCCAAACATTTTGTTTGCTTGCATTAAAAAGACACAAAAATACCTTCATACGTCTTCAAAGAGCCTCAGTTAAGAAGGAAATTTACAGTATAAGTTCAGTTTAATGTATAGAGACTGCAGCTCTGCAGCTTCTCAAGATTAAAGCAGAGCCACCGTGTGTACTCTTACCTGTTTTCATGCAACTTAAATTCCATACAGGTCATGTGATCACTGTTGAGTCATCTCTATGACAACTGATCAAACTCTAGCCATGTTAAAGACCTTGACATGTTATTAAAAGTGCCAGAAACCATTAAAAGTGCCAGTGAACATTGAGTTAAGACTATTTTCACAACATGTAGTACCTGAAAATGCAACAGATTAGCTCTTTTATGTGCTGTGCAGAAGATATGACACGTTACTCCAGAATCACTTTGGAAAATCCAGTTACTGACAGCCATTTATGTCTGTGAAGATTCATCCATCCAGGTCTTTGTTATCCAAGGAAGATTAAATCAAGGCAAATTGGACTTGATCCATACAGGTCCATATAGGTCATGTGTACCACAAGACTTGGTCCAGTTGAAATTGGTTCTACCTTCTGCGCTGGTACCTATGTACCTAATACTGTCCGAAAGGGGTAGACCGGTTGTATGGGCTCATATCATCTAGTTCCCAGCCCGGGAGTCACAAAATAAATCTGTCGCAAGAAAATTACTTTTACCTCTAATTTTACTTACTTCAATACTCAAGGAAAAAAAATATTCCTTAGTTGACCTGGTTACGACTAGTACACATATGCAACAGAGTAAATAGTTCACCCAGACGTTACATGCAATGCAACTACATCGAGATGTGGCACAACTTATATGCTGTAAGACACAATAAGACATTTACACAAATTAAAGAAATGCAGAAGCACAAAATAAATTCAGTCCACAAAAATAAACACCTTTTTCCAATTCCCCACTGATTCTGATGTCTTGTGTTTGCTCAGTTGGGATAACCACTTTCTTCCTTGTTTTTCTGCCAACTGCCCAACATACCAGCAGCAGTAAATTAAATGTGACTGCATCTGTATTCCCGTGCTACATTCCCAAAAGGAGCAGGGGGGAAGTGTGTGTTTATTTGTTGCACTTGATAATAGGCTACTCCTCTGTAGTCCATTCATAATGATGCAAGTTAATTAAACTTGTCTGTGTTCACTCTCAAGGTTCAAACTATTTGAAATATAACATGTCTTTTTCTCTAATCCTCTCCTGTAGTTTATTGCCTTTGCATCTTTGTTCTTCATTCTGGTCTCCATCACCACCTTCTGCTTGGAGACTCATGAGGCTTTCAACACCATCATCAACAAGACTGAGGCGATGCGGAACAGCAGCGTGCCAGATTCGGGCCCACAATATGAGATTGAAACTGATCCTGCACTCACATACGTGGAGGGTGTTTGCGTGTTCTGGTTCACCATCGAGTTCCTGGTGCGTGTGACCTTCTGCCCGGTCAAGTTGGAGTTTATTAAGAGTGTTCTCAACATCATCGACTTTGTGGCTATCCTGCCTTTCTATTTGGAGGTAGGGCTGAGTGGCCTTTCTTCAAAGGCTGCCAAGGATGTGTTGGGCTTCCTCAGGGTGGTGCGCTTTGTTCGGATCCTGCGTATCTTCAAGCTAACACGTCATTTCGTGGGACTAAGGGTGCTAGGCCACACATTACGGGCCAGCACCAATGAATTCCTGCTGCTCATCATCTTCCTAGCGTTGGGAGTGTTAATTTTTGCCACCATGATCTACTATGCCGAACGAATTGGCGCTAAGCCCAATGATCCCACAGCTAGCCTCCACACCAAGTTCAAGAACATCCCCATTGGCTTCTGGTGGGCCGTGGTAACCATGACAACACTGGGCTATGGCGACATGTATCCAGAGACCTGGTCAGGCATGGTTGTGGGCGCATTGTGCGCCTTGGCAGGTGTGCTGACGATAGCCATGCCTGTGCCTGTTATCGTCAATAACTTTGGGATGTACTACTCCCTGGCCATGGCCAAGCAGAAGCTGCCCAAGAAGAGGAAGAAACACATCCCTCAGGTGCAGGGAGGGTCCCCCACCTACTGCAAAGCAGATCTCAACACCACCTGCAACAGCACGCAAGGTGACCTGTGCCTCGTAAAAGGGAGCAGGGTACTAGAACGCAACCGCTCAGGTAAGACCATATGACCAGACCAAGGCCATATGGGAAAGAAAGTTATGAGCAACCACACACCTCAGTAGGAAATTTCAAGTGGTGTTATTCATGTAATGACAGCAATGAGAATCCATAAGGGACCTCAATTCAGAAAGAAGGCAGTGTCCATTTGACAGATTCCCCCCTGAGACTAGAAATGGTTTATCCCTGGAGACTCACAAGATCCACAGCAGCTCTCTCACAGAAGACTGAGCTCTTTTGCCTTGCAGCTTTCATCTCTGGTTGCCACAGTGATAAGGAAGGTAATGCAAAACGTACTGAGAGCAGGAGATGTTTGTGTGAAATAGAGTCTTTGTGTCCAAGTATTTCTTCTAGTAGGGATAGTTCATCTGTTGTTCAGACCGTAGGTGGCTGGTTTTCCCTCTAGGCCCATGTCAGTAATTTACTCTTACACATCGGATATTGATGGAAACTCCCGTGTCAACCTCCATATACACATTCCTGAGGGTAGGTGTGCACTCTGTGCTCTTCACAGTCTATTTGTTTATTAGGTCTCAGAATCTTATATTTACCAAGCATATAATAATTCATGCCTCAACTGATTGCACAAACAGAATCAATCTAGTTCAGTAGCTTGTGGGAATTCCTTTGAGGTCAAAAAATACAGTCTGCTTGGTTACGTTTCTTCTTTCCTTAAGATTGCTTCATGGTTTCTGTTTCAATGTGAAAGGTTCCATATAACACACTGTATGTGCATCACATGTGAGGTGCCAGGTTCTAGTATGTATATAGAGTATTTTCTCTGGGATAAAAATTTCTCTAACTAAACATTAAAAGCCAGAGACTATACAACCAACTCATACAGCTAATTATCTAGCTATCCTAGCTACTCGTAAAATCTGCTGTTAAATAAACTGTTATGATTTAATGAATGAAAACAACCCATTAAAATGAAACCGCTGTATTATCCCACTGGAATTAATATTACACTAGTGGTAAACTATAGAATAATCTGAAATTATAATGAATACCCTAACATTAGCCCTAATCAAATCTTAACTACAGTGGTGTAATATCAGAAAATGGTTTTATTTGTGAAACAGTTGAATTGTTAGATCTCAACTAATAAGATACACATGGCAACATGTAAACTTGGAAAGAACACTGGTGTTATTTTCTCTTTCTCTTTTTATCCACCAATTCTAAGACAAAACCAAAAGTAAAAATGAATTAATCCAACAAAACCAGTTTTGCTTGTGTAGCCAAATCCTGCTATAGATCATTCCTCTGTCCTACAGACCTCCACTGTAATCCAAAAACTATTAAAAACACATAAAAGAGCCACGCTAATGTAATTCATGACATATTCCATCATTACAATGGTTATGGCCAGTTGTTAAACTGCCAATGCATTTCTGGAGAACTTGATGTCCGGGCAGACGTTATTGCAAATACTTGGGGACACAGATGCACTTGTACAAGCTAAGAAGAATATGTTACAATCCAGTGTAATGATGGAGTATGTCATCCAAATGCAAAAGTTTGGCTCTTTTGCTTGTAACAGTTTTTGGACAGGGGGAATACCTAAAACAAGCTGTGGCTCCATAGACAAAACTGGTTAGCGTGATAAATTCTATTGCTGGTTTTGATCTTTTCATTTCATAATTTCAAGGTAACACATATCTGAAATGGCACCAGAAACCTGAAGATACACATTTAAATCTAACACAAATTATAAATTAATGGAAGTAACTAACTCTGTCTTGATTGCATGTTTTTGAAGTTTGGATTTAAAGAGTTTTAACATAAACATTAAAACTGTTGAAATATCTGTACTCTCTATTACGCATTCATTCCTATAGGCGGTTCCACAGTGGTACAGTGTTAAAGTAACATTTAGACAAACAAACTTATGTAAAGAGTTTATTTTTTATATTTTCACATTTAATATGATTGTATTTTAAACTGGTAAAGCCATTGAACCATTTGAGCCATTTCCATTGAGTATTTTCATAAATTTTATGCAGACTTTAAATAATAACTCTCTTTTTCCATTCTTTAGCATTATAGTACAGTGTTACTTTACCGTACCCCAAAGTTTACCCCCCAAATATATATATTTTTGAAATATATACTTATATTTATAATATATACAATATTACAACACAATGCAATACATTTTTTTACCCACTGTCAAGATAATGTGTAACATAGATGGTTAAAATATTTTATAACTGTCATATTATCTAATTATTCAGTATCGCTGTTGAAAATCATGGAATTATTGATGCCACTATTGAAGCTTTAATGGTATGCTAAGTTCATTGCTTAAGGCTTTTTATTACTGAATCTACTGATATGAGCTTTGGATTTAAAGCTTGAAACCTTTTATGTCAGAATATTGTTATAATATCATATTCTTTTCTCACAGTTCTCTCAGCAGATTGCAGCGGAGGCAGTGACCTGACCATGTCTCCAGATGAGAGGGTCCCCATGCGAAGGTCCAGCACCCGGGAACAGGACCGCCGGAGTGGGGGGACGTGCTTTCTGCTCGCTGCTAGTGACTACAGCTGCCCTGCAGATGGGGGGCTACGAAAAACAGGTAACTATATGTGGAAATTCTTCTAAGCATGGATAAATTTATTATGTTAATCTTTTCATAAACATAGTCCTTTAAAACCATTCAATATGTTCTTGTCTTAAAGAATCATTCTAAAATCTATGCTTGCTATTGTGCATTATGACTGATTCATTTTTGATTCATTAGTCATCACTTATAAATCTGGGTCAGGTTTCATCTCAAAGGGATTTCCTGTGGCCATGCGTTCTTTTTTTTTTTTTACTGTGTGAAATATTCTGTGAGTAAACTAAATAAACACTCAGTTGATATTGGGATATGTTTTAAGATAAAAATACAGATGTCAGGGTACAACATGTTTAAAAAAAAAGGTCTTACAGACATCAGTCAAATTCCTCATCGGCCAATCCATGTCCTTAGTGACTGCAACATCAACGTCCCTGGAGGGGGGAAGGCTGTTTGTTCAGGCCTAGTCAGCTCAGGTAATGTAACCTGTGGATCTGTTGTTGTCATTCTCAGCAGCGACACAGCACAACTTTTTTGGCAATTCTGAGCGGCACCAGTGTCCATGCAGCTGATTCAGAACTGTTGCTTTCTTCTCAATTTATTCATGTTTTCTTGTTGCCTGGAAACACTTGAATAAATTTCAGACCCCGTCTCTCCCTTTTTCGGCTGTTGCCAGGTTCATTGCCCATCTACAGTTCCCAAATAAATCACACAGTGTATTATTTGCTCTTAAGGTGATGATTTCAGATATCTCACAATCACAGGAAATGGTCAAAGAAATATATTTCAACCCACAAACATTTTGACTTATTCCTTAGTAGTCTTGCACAGTGCACTTGCTTCTACTTCATTTGCTGCCAAAGGTGATTGTGCTAATCACCAGCTAATCCAGTGGATTAATTTACATTCAGATCTAGTAAATATAACCTACTGACCATACATACAGTAGGTCTTCTTTTAACCCTAATAGTTTCATAA